AATGGAATGAGATATGTACCTCTCTCGTGACCTTTGTACTCTTCAATCTCTCTTTAGACTAAGTGTCGTGTTGTTTTCTGTTTTGCAGATTGCAGCGTCAACGTCAGCAAGAGGAAGAACGCGAGCGCTTAAGGGAACTGGAACTAGCAGCTCAACCGAAACCATGGCGACCGAAACCAAAAAAGAAACGACGAAAGAAGAAAAACGACTGGTGACTTCTATGAATGATTTATGAAGCCATGGATTTGTGACATACATGTTTCATTTCTGCAATAATGACACAAGTGTACATTTTGCAAATAAAACTTCTTTTTTCATCCGGTTGTTTTTATGACTAGTTATCAAGGAAAGACCTATCGTAAAAACGCGAACGGCCTGGTTATGGAAATCGCGCACAGTACCGGTGAGAAACGTTCTCGTTCCCATAACCCTTTTCGCTTCTCTTAGCCAGCGGGGCCTTTGCACGAGACCGAAGGAGCCCTTCCGCCCCGCCGGCTAAGAGAAGCGAAAAGGGCTATGGGGACGAGATAGAAGATTTTCCAAAAAACATATCTAATAGTGTCTGTCTTTCTAATCCATGCAAACTCTTTTGCGTTTTTCATACCTTCCGTTTACTTTAATTAACTTGGAAGCGTTTCACTCTAGAACTCTGTGTTCGGAAGTTCACCTGCGTACATGTTTGTGTCGTTCTTGCGACCTTGGCTTCTACCTCCCCCAGATAGGTCTAAGGTTAGCTGTTGCTAAAGATTATTCCATTTGTCTTAAGTTTTCAATTGGTTAATCTCTGCTTGCCTAGCTTATCAAGTCAGCTGAGTTCGTTTGGGATTTACATCCGGGTACCTTGTTTTGTACCACATGGCGTACGGGCACCTTCGGACTTGGGGGGGAGAGGGGCGGAGACCTTTTTGCCCGAAAAAAAATTAAGCAATGCCTGAATGTGTGAGTGTTGAACGCACTCAAACTGCGTGAAAAACAAAAACGTTCACAAAAAAAGTTACATTGAAAGTTTGCATACTCAATGACCTCTATAAACAGTCTCAATCGAGTAAAATCTAAAAATTATTAAAAGAAAAAGTTCTTCCTTTCATGGCGTTCGTTCAGAGATCGGCTGATCAGCAACAAAGACATTTGTGTTTCAAGATGGGTTGTCTAGAAAATCCGAATAGCGAATAGCGAATAGTGCGAATAGTGCGAATAGTGCGAATAGTGGCGAACAGTCTCGAATAGTGGCAAATAGTGGCAAATAGTGGCAAATAG